TTTCCCTGCGACGTGTGGCAAGTGCAAGTCCTTTGTGTGTCTTGCTGGGACGTTGCGGCATGGCCGCTGTCTGTCCAAGGTACCAGCACCCAGCACATGGCACCAGTTGGCTTTGACGCGTCGGCACTGCCACAGCCAGCTCGACGCCTCAGCTTCGCCCTGCTTTATATCATGGCTCGGCACCCTGCACATCTCTAGTCTGATAACCGAGCCCAAGTAGCTTTTCGCTGTTTCTCCACTTGTCTCAACCACTACGGTCCAATGTCTGCTCCTGCCATCGAGGCTAGGTCTCTCTCTACCCTTACCTCGCTTGCCTCGAATCCGCCGTCGTACCCCAGGAACCCCACCCACGTGAGACACGAGCCACTGGTCTTGTACATCGCTCGTGTGCCTGGCAGCAGAGGTATGCCTGCTACGTGTGCGTACGTTTCCTGATCTAATGCCTGCTAGATGTGTTCCTGTCTCCTATGAAACCGCGGGAAAAGGTTGTCACGGCAGAGGATATTCAAAATTCGTTATATTTCGTCCATGTCGAACAGCCAGAAGACGCACACTTTATTGAGACGCCTCCCCTCCAGGGCCCGCCACACCCTGATTCTCGTCCAACCTCTCCGCATGGGTCACAGTTAGCCGCCGTGCAGCGCAAGCCTGTGTCTAATCCTGTTACTGGTGTACCTACTGCTGCTAAGCGTAAACCGGTCCCCAGTACACTGGACCCTGTCAGTGGCTTCGAAACTACTCATAACAACGCCAGGAACTCTCAGCAGATATCGGCTGGTCTCCTAGGTCCTGACTATGTTCCCCGCCAGTCGTTCGAAGATGCCCAATACCAGGACGAAAACAGGCCTCCACTCCCACAAAGGCCAACTCAGCAACCCGCATCTCCAGGAGCGTCTCTGATCCTCATCCGTCGGGACCCGGCCTCTGGGGCGCAGTGGAATGTCGCTCGCATCGACGATCCTCTAGTAATGGATGTCTCGTCATCCACGTTGAATGAGCCGATGGCCAGGAGGAAACCGGGAGCACCGGCGTACATCGCAGTCACTAATCCCGGATATTCCAAGTTCCTATATGCTCAGCAACCAGCTGTACCACCACTTGTCAGCCGGAACACCAACGCATCTATCGCTACCTACAGTCCTGCTCAAGGCTCCCGTTCAGCGAACCAAGTCGAGATTGATCGCGAAGATGGTGTGTTTCGTAGAAGGCTGTGGATGGAAGGTTCTAAACACCCGGGTGGTGAATTTGGGCATCGGAGGCTCAAGTCTCACGAATCTAACATGTCTGGAGGTAGCTCTAGAAATAGCTTCGAGGGTACGCAAAGGACGTCGTTAGATTGCCGACCTCCAGCAACGCCTCCCTTCCTCACGAGGGAGAATCAATCATACAGTTCCATTCAAGTCTCTGAAAAGCAATCGACCTTCCGTGGATATGTGTTTACAAGTCCATGGAACGGCCGTTGCGAGTTCGTTACGGGCGCTGGGGGTGGCTCGCTGAAGGTACGCCCGTCGTGCTTAGTATACATACATGACGCTAATATTGACCAGTGTCGTCACATTGTACCAGGTCTACAGGGAGCCCCTCCTGTGGCCCTATCAGTCAGCGAACTCCGGTTCAACCTTCCTAGCAGTTCCAAAGCCTCCACGCCCCGAGGTGAAGAGTCCTCTAAGCGATCATCTTTCTTCCACAAACCGCGGCATAGCCGTAACAACTCTTCGATGGGGGGATCTCGTGCCGAGAGCACGGAGGACGTCAGACGCTCGTTCGATCGTATGGATCTATCGTTAGGGCAAGAATTTGCGGGGGGTGGATTTGGTGGCAAACAGGCAAAGCTGGGCAAACTAATCATCGAGGATGAGGGCCTGAAGATGATGGATCTCTTGGTTGCTGCAAATGTGGCATTGTGGTGGAGGGTGTATGAGAGGTGACATCACGCCTTTCGGGAAGTGCAGATGTGACCAAGAAGCCGCTGGTAGTGTATAAGTGGGCATGCTGTTTGATCGAAGATGTGAATAGTCGAACAACTTGACCCGCCGCCCAGTTGTGCAGGGAGTATTGGGCAGCTGCTTGTACGCCAACCCAACCACACGTCTCTGCTTATGCTGGCTGTGGAGCCAACCAGTGCCCGCAAACTAACGTACCGAGTCAATGCCTCCCTCGAAACATCGATCTACGTGAGTGTTTCACAAGTCCGTGCGTCACCCAACTTTTGCGCTCTTCTTTGTTTTGGCAAGTCACGTCAGCTTTTCGTGGAGTCCATGTCGCCTTCACACTCTCGGCACCACCGACTTGGCAAACCCCACAGATACTTACTTCACCTTCGACCCTGTGATTCTACACTCGCTACCAAGCAATCTATCCCGCTGATATCCCGCAACTCGTCATTTCCTTCCGTCTTCTTGGCCTATAGGGCACGCTCGGCAATATCGTTCTGGTTTAAAGCGATGACGTCGATCCGGACCTCTAATCTCCATTTCCCTACTTCGAACGAGCTTTGAAGTTTCTGAAGCGCAAGGTATAAGTTCTCTCCAACTACAAAGCAGTGACCGTTCACGCAAATCTTCCGAGTCTTTCCTGGATAGCCCCAGACATAGCTCAGCACGATGCAACCCCCCAAACGTATCGTGGTTCAAGAATCACTATTTCCTCATTGGTATATCGAAATTCAAGTTCAACAACGGCAAAACTTCTTCCCCTAACTGACGCATAACCTCTTGTAAATCATAGGTTTTCCGCTAGTGCGTCATTGGATTATGTCATTGACCATTTGCCAAAGCAGAAGCTTGTTGTAGGGCTGACCCTTTAGATTATTCAGTCTTTCGGAGTTCTCCAAGCGCAGGTATGTCGATACAGCTTTGATAAATCCCATAAGCTCACGTTTTCGAGTGCAAATATTAAAGGCCCGCCTGCGTGCGCTTTTCTCCCAGTCTCAACGAGAACTGTCCTTTTCGACGCCTTGTCGACTCTCCATCGTCGGATTTCTTGTGTGTCAGCGGGCACGCGCTAAGCCTGTTTTGGCTAATTCCTTTTCGGTTAGCTTTGCGCTACGCCCTTTTTAGTTAGCCTGCGCACAGACGCTAGGCGCGCCTTAGCCGCTTTTTTAGTCCCCCTTTGTTTGTGTATTGGCAAAGCACAACGCGCCTTTTTGTCCCCCCTACTTAATTGAGTCACCCTACCTCATAGTGAATCTCTACAATATATATTAAAGGCTATAACGCGGTTGTGTCTCCCTTGCTAGGCTTTGGCTTAATGGAAAGAATGCTGGGCTCATTGCTAAAGGGTACTAGAGGGAGATATCGCAGTGCTGATACTTAAGTGCCCTTGACTTCTAGGTCTTCTCTAGTGCTTGATTCGATTTCCTTGATCCGACCCGTCAAGTCCATATGACTGTGTTTAGATGTACTTGGGTGCTTCTGGATAGGCGACGGCCAGTTCGGTTCATGAAGAACGTACAGAAATGGATTGTCGAGCGACCAATGTGCGAAGTGGTATAAGGGGGGGTTGAGTTCTCCGATAAATGGGGCTTCACGAATCCCTTTCGAGCTTTCTAGGGCAGAATTTGTTGCCGCTTCGATACCATGTCTGGTAGTCCCCCCTGCTTTGCGCTTTATTCTCTGCCCTCATTTTCGTCCACGTACTAGGATCGTATTCTGTCGCAAACTCCTAGATGTTCCATAATGCTATAGTAGACACAATGGGTATGGTCTGGAGAAAGGCTTTGCCAAAGTGCGCTTTTTCAGTATCCTAATCCCTTGTACATCGACATTGGCGGAAAAGGCTTGGTACATAAGGGTTGCTTAGACGCACACGGTCTGTATGTCCGAGCCTGAGTAGCCATTTGTCTTGCGAGAAAGATCTTCCTGTTTAATGTCATCGCCCGCAGTTTCATCACGTAGGCATATGTGAAAAATGCTCTAGCATCCGTGCCTGATTGAAAAGTCCTTTAATAGCCTTTTCAATCTCACCAATCCACATACTCTTAATGTTAGCAGCGGACGCAGATATTATAGTAGCGTAAAACTCTCATGCTAAGACCCTTGCAAGATGCGTCTTTCTTATAGCTAGCGGACCGTACAAGGGCGCTCCACAAATGCGGCCTTTCTTGAGAATACTGTATGCAGCGCGTCCATTATGGGCCGGTTAATCAACCATACGCTTGATTGTCTCTACTGTTTCAATATCCAATTGGATGTCTGACCATCCCTCTTCAACGCTTGCGGGCTTTTGTTAGCGGGGCCAGTGGTACATTTGAGTTAGGTCTGGTTGTTGTTCTTTTGTGTTCGCAGCGTTAGTTGCAAGTTCTCACACTGGATTTTATTCAGATTGAGCAATCCAGACATGGATAGTGTGTAACCATTAAGCTTAGTGCGGTATTATACCCGATGCTGAGAGGTAGGAAAAGATTACGCACCAGAATCCACTAGCAGATCGAAGAACTGCTGTTCCCATTTGTACTTGTCCTTTTCGTTCTCGGTTTCGAGAATTGCTTTCTGGATCTTGGCCGGGAAGGTTGACCATTTGTTCGCTTCTTCGGGTTCTTCTTTCCAGGTCTCAAGCAACTCCGTCGTCCCGCCCTCGATACGGCTTGGAGAATATCGCCGTAACTTCCTCTGCAGTGTTCGGATATTTTATTCTCTAACTAAACTGAAGCTGCCATAGCCGTTTTGTAGCAGGTCTAGTTGGTCTTTGGTTCTAAGTGGGGTGACGATGATGGACTTCGTCGTATTGGAACGGCGGGTAATGCTTGACGAAACATACAGGATTCGATCTGCGAGGCTACTGGACCTGGCGATAAAAGATCAAAGGCGCGATACAATAGAACTGACCTGCTAAGTTGTTGAATGGTTGAGCAAGGCTGAGGCTGGATTTTGCTTAAGCAGCAAGATTAGTGTAACGGACTGGTACGTATTCAAGACGGGCAACAGAAAAAGCAAAACACCCAACCTAGGATCGAACTTGCGCCTTCTGACAATCAACAAGGGCAAAAAATAGAAGTCTCATAGCTGAGCTACGTTTCGATCGTAGGTCTGTATTGCTGTTAGTGGACGATCCTGTAGATGATTGAGTGTCACGTACCCTCCGGGTTATGAGCCCGGCGCGCTTCCGCTGCGCCACTCAGCTTTCTTGAGCTTGTTGCTTTGATGACTAAGATGCAATAAAAAAAAACATATAGATAAGTTAAAAGGTTCCTATGGTGATTGTGGTGCTAAAGATGAAAAGTGTGGCTGTGGTGGGGTAGTGGGGTGGGGCATCCAAGGATATTCGCAGACTCAGAGGCTAGCACGTTGCGAAGAGCGAAGAGCGAAGAGCGAACTGCCGACTCAACTTAAACTCGTACCCAATCCTCCTTACGACTGTTGAAGATATAACGGTCATTCCCAGAGTTATTAGGCATTCAAGTTGAAACTGCATACCATAGAATAGATTCGGGCTGGGGAGTTTATTTGGACATGGATGCGTCCTTCGAACCACGGCACAAGTGCAACGTCAGCAGGAACACGTGAGCGTGAGTTCGCCGCGAGCTGTGTCAAGTCAATGGACGCACCACAAGTACTGTCTCTACGACAAGCAGCTCCTGCCATACCGGTAAAGCAGCACGCGGAACATGTCCCAAATTAGTAGGTATACCTCAACTAGAGCCCACGTCACCAACCGGGCTTTGATATACATGCCGATGGCTCCCAGACGGCGCAATTGATAACATCGCTTCCGGTAGGAGCTCTGACGGACGTTTCCATCAATATGAGTCGAGGGGCCAGATACAGAAAGTCGTGCCTGCCAAGCCCCAGTTGGAAAGAGCCACCCACGAATAGCGGAAGCAGTCACCTTCTGCCTTTCCTGCTCGCCTCCCAGAACTTGTGCATCGCCCAACTGTTCCTCGCGCGCTCGTCCGTCTTTCAACCTTTCCCACATCAGCCTACACCGAATCCCATCCCACCGCTAGTATCCCAAAGCCCGCATCCCCTAACCAAACACACCTAATGTCTTCTCGTCCACTGACGGCCCTCAAAACCATGATCGTCACCGGCGTCATCTTACTGCCTACCGTTGTCCCGCACGCCGTTCAAGACCTGGCAGACTTGAAGACAGTCATCGACTCTACAGCAGCGACTATCGATGCCGCGCCCAACAACTCCAGCTGGGGTTTTTTCAGCCCTGCGAGTCCGGCAGGCTCACTGGTATGTCATGTATGAGCAACACGGTATGGTAAAGGTTGACGAGGGGACAGGGAACAGCGGACCTGATTGCGAATATCAGCACCACAATACTGAGGGCGAAGTACCTTCTCGATGTCGACAAGGTACGTTTGTTTCCTTCCATCTTCCTGAATCTACTCTGTTCCTCCTACCAACGCCCACCAGGTCGCATGGACAATAACGCCAGACAATACTACTGCACCCGCCATCACGACCGACCCAACACAGACCGATGTCCCTCAACCGCCTACATCCACGTCGACTCAAGCATACAACATCTCTCTCGATTTAACCTACGTCGACTACATCTCGAGCATCCCCACTCTCGCGAGCGCCCTCGTCGACCTTGGCCGCGCCTGGCACAAGGAATTGAACAGTCCTGTCTCTGAAGCCATCGGGGCCCTTCAACAGGCGATCACCCAGTTCTCCACGTCCATGCTGGAAGGCGACTTGCTAAACAGTACGAGCATCCTCAGAACAATCCGCGCTTCTAGCAGCTTGGAGTCGGCACAAGTGGCGTGGAGCCGGGTTCTCAACTTACCAGGCGCTGCGGGAACAACGAAGAAGCGCGGAGAGGAGAAGGAGGTGAAGAGACCGCAGCTAGCTGAAGGACAATTCTATACGCACAAGGAGCTGTGGGGGAGGAGTGGTGGAGTCGTGCAGAGGCAGGCCAAGAATGAGGATGATGGGTCGTCTGAGGCGTCAGACGTAGAGGCGACGTGGAGCGAGTGGCGCATCGAGAAGACTGCGAGGCGGTTCGTCGCATAATGGCATGGTGATAGAACCTCGATCAGTATTGAGCAACCCTGACTAGCTGACATCGCTCAAACATCGCTCAAACACATCTCGCACCTTCTCCAGCTGTGTCAACCGTGCTCTTCTGTGTCCCTTGTGAGTAGAAGACCGCATGCTGCGCAAAATATACATGACACCACATCAGTGAACGTTGAGTTTGTGATAATGCATGCTCTTGCATTGCACAGGCGCCTCCCAGTCGCCTACCCCATGCATACATAAACACACGCATGCCGGCATACATACATACACAGCTCTCCTTCTTCGTTATCTTCTCGCAGATAGATCCGCATCTACAAGTCTAGTAAGGACAGGCGGCAAAGACGAGTGACTAGTACAGGTGATGAGAAGAAAAAGCAGAATGGGATATGAATCGGGGATATCTCGACTTGCATAAAACAGAAACAACGACATGTAAATGGAAAGAAAGAAGAAGAAAAAAAAAAAAAAAAAAAACCACAAAGTTAAGATGGGGGAAAATAACCATGACTCGTTAAAAGTGCAGTTGAATCGCTGTGATAATGCCAATGCTGCGCATACAAAGGTACCATGCAGGAACATGCAGTGCTCCGCTCCTCGTCCCTCTTTCACTTCCTTGCCCATAGATCCCCAAAAAGTAGGAACAAGCACGGCGATGAACGATAGTGAGGTCCAGAGCCCATTCGTTGTGCGAGCGAATGGTATCCTAATACTATCCTCTTTTCATTATAGCGTGTATCTTGTGTGTATGCGATAGGTTGTGCTATGCATACTTTCTCACACGAGCACCCACTCGCTTCCCCTCTTGATGAACTTGTCCAGCATCAGTGTCATGTCCGCCAACACGAAGCGGCAGATGTAGAAGCCGAAGAACTCGGCGGCGTGGCGGGCGCAGAGTTCGAGGCCGACGTGCGTGGGCGACGAGTGCTTGAGGCCGGGGTCTTCGACTTGGCGAGCGATTTGGTCTGGACGCACGCGTTAGCACAGGCCGGCGATCAAGGTTGTAGGGCGTGGGAAAGCTTACCCAGTATCTGGACTGAATCGAACAGCTTCGCCAAGCTGCTCATGTAACCCCCGTTCGGACCCTCAAACGCTACACTCCCGACGTCGCGTTTCGTGAATCTGATGTTGGGCAGATTCGTCATCGGCAGCGTGGCCATGGTTAGCGAGTCCTTGGAGACTTCTGGCGCCGCGCTCTTTGTTCCTGCCGTGTTGCTCAAACCCACTGCGGAATTCTTTGATCGCAGTTTACGCCATGACGTAAGATACGACTTGCTCTGCGACATACCGCTCTTTGATCCATGGTCTTGGGATCCATGTGAGCCCTTCTCGGAATTGCCGTCGGCAGCCGATCCTACTCCTACGGTATAGGCATCTTTGAAAAGCACCGACACGCCCTGCATGCCTACTTCGTTGCCGAGCTTCTTCGCCAGCTGTGTTTGTACTTGGTCCAGGACTACCTCGAATGCTTGCATTTCTTCTAGAACGGCATCGGCATCGAGTGTGTCTACGGTTGATAGTCTCTGCAGCGCGGCGGTAAGCAGGTCACAGTTGGCAATCTTGTCGTCAACATTCTTGAGCTTCACACCTTTGACCCGCCATACATCGCGAGGAATGAAGAGCTTGGTTGACAAGTATCCGCCACGCGGGTGCACAATGGTCTGGTAGAAACATCGCATGAGCCAAAAAGGTCGTAGGAGATATGACTCCGGGCACGATTCCAATGGAATGGGCGCGTTCGCTACGGCAGCACTAGGCGAACCAGGGGAGTAGGGTGAGTGAATGTCGCTTTCGAAAAGATGCATACCTCCGCTGGGCAGGCCATCGACATTGAACACTGGCCCATTCGGTGTAGGCGTAGGCATTGGCGCAATGCTTGGCTTTCGACCACCAAGATTGAATGTAGCGCTCATGGGTGTCGCGACTGACCCATCTGAGCCGTCTGGGCTTGATACCGAAAGATTTCGCTGCTTCAAGCTAAGGGAGGATTTGTTCTTCCGGATGCCCATCGAGGAACCCTTGCCAGTCTTCGGAGATGCAGGGGCGGGAATATTGTCACTCAACATAGCATTGTTGAGGGCGAGTGTGGCTGGGGATGCGTCGAAAGCAGTGTCTGCTGGGCTGGGAGCAAGAGCTTGTGGTGAGGGTGCGTTGAGTCCGCTCTGGGAATGTGATTGCGGAATCGTAGGAACCTTGAAAGTTGCATCGACCAAAGGCTGGGTACTGCTAAACGTAGCAGCAGCCGCAGATTTAGGCAGTGGCGGAACTTCGGGTCGCGCTTCTCTCTCAACATGAGACGCCTTGTCTGTGTGGGGCGCTGGAAGGACCGGTGGTAATGAGGTTTCAATCTTCAGTGATTGGAGATTCTGCCCAGATAGCCTCCGACTGCGTACGGACGCCGCGTCTTTAGCGACGACTTGGGACTTTGGTGATGTTGCAGAATCGTCGTTCCCTTCCGACGTTCGGGACTCCGATACCGACGCCAAGGTACCAGATGATGTGGAAACCGGTGGAGGGGAACTTATGGGCGCTTTGGGCTTCGTTGGCTGCAAGACTTCCGCAACGGTCGATAGTGACGTTCCACCCGTTGTCCTGTGCGACGATACCGAACTGTTGTACGTGCTACCCGAGAAGCCACTGGAATCCGATTGCCGCGGCAATGACGACTTTGTTTGGAGATCAAAATCAAATCCATCCAACATGTACTCCCTTGTGATTTCATCCAGCAATCGCTCCTCCTCTTCAGCTTCGTCATGAAAATTGAGCTCCGCACTCTCTCTGACGTGTGGTAATGGCTCGTTTCGCAATTGCGTTTCCTTGTAGCGATACTTTGCGGCCGTGATGGCCTCTTCTCTTTCTGCTTCTCGTACTCGCTCCTTGGCTAGCTCTACATTTCTTAATCTGTTTGCCCTCAGCTCAGCGGAGTCCGGCATTCCATCTTCATAAGGTTCGTAGCCTTCATCATATGCAGCTTCCACGGCTGCATCCAGTGCAGCATCGAATTCTGCTTCTGTTGCGCCGCTGCCATTTCGAATGTGCTTCCGGTGCAGCCCGCCTGGGGAAAGCGAATGTACGGATGACGAACAGGAAGAGCCGCCAGACTCGTCGATTGTGTCAAGCCACGATATGGATTCGGTGCTATTGCCTCTT